TTAGTTTTCACAAAACTCCTATGATAACTTTTTCCCCCATTTCCCTGAATTCATTTGGATAAACAGTTGTTTTTTTAATGTTATTATAAAGGTGATGCACAGAGGGGAATAAGTCAGGTAAAGAGCACATTTCTTGGCCAGGCACTGGTGGCTCGTGCCTGTAATTCTAGCTACTCAGGAGCCTGAGCTCTGCGGATCTGCAGTTCAATGCCAGCCCAGGCAGGAAAGTCCTGTCTTCAATAAACTACTCAGAAAAGGCTGGAAGTGGTGGCTCTGTGGCTCAAGTGGAGAACGCTAGCCTTGACAAAAAGCAGCTCAGGGACAGAGTCTAATCCCAGAGTTCAAGCCGGAGGACTCACCAAAAAAACAAAACAAAACCAGTACCTTCCTTTCTTGTGATGTCTTAGTGTTGTAAAGCTCTGATTTACAGAGAACACTGACTCATCAAGGGGAAGACATCTGTTCCAGATCACATGGGTATACCAAAATGGCACACTCTTATTTTCTTTATTGCTTCCTTCCCGTCCCCTCTTTCGCCTACTGTCCCAGTGCAGGGATTGAATCCAGGGCTTCACACATGCTAGGCACTACCACTCAGTTATATAGTTTTATTTTGAGGCCAGCCTAGGCTGGCCTGAAACTCTTCATTCTCCTGTCTCCGCCTCCTGAGTGCTGGGATTATAGGTGTGAACTACCACACCCACCATGGAAAACTAGATTTTACTAGAGTCCAAAGGATAGTTCTCTTGGTAAACTTACATGAAGTGTCCTCATTTCTCTCTGTTATTGTGAGGAAGGAGAGTTGGGGCTCTTCTCAGAACCCCACACTGATTTCCTCTGGCTTAATTATTTCTCCAACTCCAGACTTTTGGAAAAATGATTCTGGTGTTATCCTACCTCCTTCTTCCCAACTCTACCAACAAAGGAAGCTGAGGGGCTGGGAAGGTGGCTTAGTGGTAGAGTGCTCGCCTTGCATGAATGAGGCCCTGGGTTCGATTCCTCAGCACCACATAAGCAGAAAAAGCCGGAAGTGGCACTGTGGCTCAACTGGTAGAGTGCTAGCCTTGAGCTGAAGAGCTCAGGACAGCACCCAGGCCCCACGACCACCACCATGGAAGCTGAACCTTAGCAAGGTGAAGTGACTCAGCCAAGATCATAGAACAAAGGTAAGAAGTGTGGCTACCAAGTGGCTATCAGGGAAACAGGTCAGAGGTGACATAGCATCAGGCTGCAGCTGGAAGACCTTTGACCAAGGCAACTGCTTTCTGAGCTCCTGTGTGGTCAAGGGTCCAGGGTCTGTCCCATGGACAAGTGCCTGAGAATGGGAACATGAATTCATTTCTGAGCTGCAAAATTCCATTTTTATGTTTTGTCAGTCATCGGGCATGAACTCAGAGTCTGGGCACTGTCCCTGAGCTTTTCTGCTCAAGATTAGTGCTCTACCACTTTGAGCCACAGCTCCACTTCTGGTTTTCTGGTGGTTTATTGGAGTTGAGTCTTATGGACTTTCCTGCTGGGGCTGGCTTTGAACCATGATCCTCAGATCTCAGCCTCGTGTAAGTAGCTGGGATTATAGGCATGAGCCACCAGTGCATGGCAACTACCCCCCTTCCCCCCATTTTTTTTTTGTCAGTCATGCAGCTTAAACTCTGGCCCAGGGCACTGTCCCTCAGCTCTTCAGCTCAGGGCTGGCACTCTGCCACTTGAGCCACAGTGCCACTCCTGGTTTTTTGGTGGTTTATTGGAGATAAGAATCCTCATGGAGGGCTGGGGAGATGGCTCAGTGGTAGAGTGCTTGCCTTGCATGCATGAGGCCCTGGGGTCGATTCCTCAGCACCACATAAGCAGAAAAATCCAGAAGTGGTGCTGTGGCTCAAGTGGTAGAGCGCTAGCCTTGACTGAAGAGCTGAGGGACAGTGCCCAGTCTCAGAGTTCAGGCCCCACAACCGACCAAAAAAAAAGGACTTTCCTGCCAGGGCTGGCTTTGAACAGTGATCCTCAGATCACAGCCTCCTGAGTAGCTAGGATTACAGGCATGAGCCACTAGCACCCAGCAAAAACCCATTTTTGATGTACTAAGAAGGCTTCATCTTTGAGTCCTATGAATATATGAAAGCAAAGACTCCATTTACAAAGGGGATTCGTTTCTGGAAATGGATTCCTTATAATCACTAGACTTTCCCATCCAGACTGCTAGAACTCCAGGACTTTTAGTTTCTCTGAAGATAATATGCTGGGAACAGATGTGAACTAGAAAATGATCCTGGGGTCAAGCTTCAGTAAATGGTTGTAATGACAGGAGCTGGCATTGGAGCCTCAGCTCTGCTCTTCAGTCGCTATCTGGTATGGGGCAGTATTTGGGTTTGTTTCCTTCCTCAGTAGAACAGGGATTCTGATTACAGAGTGCCTGAAGTACAGATGAGGCCTCTCTTGGCCTCCTCAGGGCCAGCCCTGGAACCAAAGGTTCCCTTCTCTCTCACACACACACACACGAACTAAAGAAATTGTGGGGTCAGTCCTTTCTGACATGGGTTTCAAATTATGGATAAGAAAAGATCATCTCCAGCCTGTACCCCATAGTTCTGTAACTACCTTGGGTCCTTGAGTGGAAAATTACAGGGAGGGCAAGTATAGTGATAAACCAGTCACCTCAGATAAAACACTGCTGGCTCCTTCTTGGCGGTGTTTCATCACTGAACTCTTACTAAGGTTTCTCAACTTGCCCCTTTTCTAAGAATCACTGGACTTGTGTAAGAGGCAGAAAAACCTGTCCCCGTGGAATCAGATTAATTAGATTGAGTGGATTCATTTGAGACCAATTCATTTTAAAATTTCATTTTACCAGATTTTGTGTAAAATATAATTGGGGACTGTCTTTCACTAGATTAGAGTAAAAGTTTGTTATATCAAATTGATTTCCTTTTTAAAAAAATCATTATTATAAAGGTGTTGTACTCAGAGGTTCATTTCATAAGTCAGGGAATGAGTACATTTCTTTTTGGACAATGCAAATTTATTTCTTGAAGTAAAATTTATTTTTCAGCTGGGCACTGTGGTGGCTTATGCCTGTTATCCTAGCTGAGACCTGAGGATTGTGGTTCAAAGCCAGCCCAGGCAGGAAAGTCCGTGAGACTCCAATAAACCACAAGAAAACCAGAAGTGGTGCTGTACCTCAAAGTGGTTTTAAAGCACTAGTTTTAAGCAAAAAGAACTCAGGGACAGTGTCCAAGCCCTGGGTTCAAGCACTATGACCACCACTAGCAACAACTAAAAAAATCACTATGTAATGCATTCATCTGGATTGATATCCAAAGACAGAAAAGGATAAAAAAGTGAAAAACCACCCCAAATCCCATCCCAAGACACTTAACTATTTTTGTGTGTGTATCTTTCCTGCCATACTCTGTACCTTAAACAGTATATTATCTATACTTTAGTCTACACAAGCAAATGACATGGAGGAGTGGGATTTGAACCAGGGCCTGTTGCATACTAAGCACATGAATTCCCACTGAACTACATTCCCAACCTCCAAATCTCTATTATTAAGACAAGCTTCTGTTGATATTTCTAGCACTGAGGGGTGAAGGTATTTGGAAAAACATCTATTTTGTGCAAGGTCCTGTGTTGGGTCCTCAGGATTAGCAGTGTGCTATGGTACAGCCCAGTCCTACTTAGGAAGCTCAACAATTTTATAAAGTGCCAGTTTATAGATGGGCAGGCTAGCAAAGACACTCTTGTGGGCTTGAAAGTGGAGCTGCAGAGAAAAAGCATGAGACCTGTGGGCCTTTCATCTTCAGTCATCAGCTGTGGCACCTGGCAGACACTGGACACCACAGCTTGCAGACAAAGACCTGGTAACCCAAGTAGCTGCTTGGCCTCCCTTGCCCAGTCCCATCCCAGAGGAGCTGTTGGTCTCTGGTTTCTTTAGGGGGCCCTGTGTGGCAGTGTCTTTTGTCTTCCTGGAGTCAGGAATACCATCACGTGCCCCGTTGGCAAGGTGAGCCAGGCGCCTTCGCCTCCTGGGGAGGGATGTAATGCTCCTAGTCTGGGGAGGGTTGGGGTGGGGTGTGGGGTTGGGCAGATGCACAACCCCCAATGGGGTGAGGTGAGGTGGATGCTTTTCAGACTTCTCCCTTTTCCTTTGAGCTGCTTCATCCTCACACCGCCTTCTGGGAACCGCTCAATAGAACCGAGTTCTGGCCAGGCTTGGGTCTAGCAGTCCTGCCTGGATCCCCCACCCCAATACTCCCACTTAGGGCCCTGGGCCGGTTTATCATCTAAGGCATGGATCCTCACTGCTACAAACACACCCTCTCGCTAGGTTTCGGTTTTCCCTGCAACAGTGACCACCTGAGGCCTTCAAAGCCACTTGAGAAGTTGGTGTGGGAAATAAGGGTTAGGAAGAGCATCCTGCGGAGCTGGGGCTCGCAGGGGTTCGACCTGCCTCGCCAGGCGCAGGATTCAAACCCCTAAGGCCGCAAATACATAGAGAGAAATCAACCACCACCACCTGTGGAGTCAGGTGCCCAGCCTGCCTCCGCGGTCCCTCTCGGCGATCACGGGGAGTGAGGGTGGAAGACGGCCGTGAAATACCCCCCAAACCCCACACCCCACCCCCTGTTGTTGTTTCCAGGCCCTTCTGGACTGGGGTCTTTTCACTCAGCTCAGGACAGTCCTTGCCTGAAAGACCTTTCCAGCCCGTGTTGTTCCCTAACCGGTGCCGGGCCTCTGTGAGGGAAGAGACCACGCTCTCCCGGGCGTGGGTAAGGCAGAAATCCTTCTCAAGCCCGCCATTCCACCGCCCTGGCGCCTCCCACTGGTGAACCCCATGGTCAAGAACCCAGGGCCCGCCTTCACTCCCCCCCTCCGCGGCCTGCCGTCAGGCGTTCTCGGCGGCCAGCCCCGTGGTCTGTGTGACGTCACGGAGCCCGGGGTCCTCGGCGCTGGCCCTCCCCACCCCCTCACCCCCCGCTCCTATAAAAGGAGACGCCGCGCGGCGTCGCTCCAGTGGCCTTGTCTTCGTCTTTCTCTTGTGCTTGCGCGGACGTCGCCTGGCTCCCGGCAGACTCCTGGTCCGCCGTCTTTTCGAGACCAAACACCGTGAGTAGCCAGCCGCTCACGGAGCGGGAAGGAGCCGTGGCGCCGGGATTGCGGGCTGAGCGGCGGCACCGTGAGGCGGGCGGCCGCTGGGCCCGGCCTCCTCTCTCGCCTCGCCTGAGGCGCGCGGGAGCCTCCGCTCGGCCTCTTACCTCGGGGGGTCTGTCAGGCCCGGGACGTCTTTTCTGCGCCTGCTTGGGCCTGACCGCGCGTTGGCGTAGCTCTCCGGGAATGAGAGCCGGGGCTCCCCGCCTGCCCGGCGGGGCCGGCTGCAAGGCCTACGCTGCGGCCTGGGCCTGCCTCGGCGTCAGGGTGGGGGCGTGGGCCTCGACCCCAGGCCTGGGGGAGTCGTCTGGGTTCTCTCAACCCCCTTTCCTTTTTCTCCTCTCTCCCCGGCGTCACTAGTTACAACAGTCCTGCCTAACTGTCGGCCGCATTTCTGCAGCTAACTCTCTGCTCTTCTCTGCTATATGCTCTGCATTGTTTTGCCTCAGCTTGGAGCCTCTGAAATGATCACTGTACTAGTTAGTCATAATAGTGCGAACCCTCCCCCCCCTTCACCTGCTTTTGGCTCACTTTTTAATGTAAACTTGAGGTTTGGGGTTTTCTAATCAAATTACACAGTGAAAACATATCTGTGGCGTAGAACAAGTGTCTACCTTGCAGAGGAGAGCAGTCAAAATTCCAGGTCACTTAAACCGTGTGTTTTTTTTTTTTTTAAATTGTGTCATGTGGTAGCACTTGATGTGTGCCACCCTTAAGGGTTAATTTCTTAAGTACAGGAGTTTGAAGGCTTGAATAAATGTTTTTGAAGGATGTCAGATTAAAAATCCCATCCATTTTTCCTTTAAAAATTTGCACTTGAATTCTACTGTAACACTAACAGTTTTCTGTTTTATCTAGAATTACAAAGTGCATCAAATTACAGATTAACCGATTTGCTTGTGTTATTTAATAAGATTCTGGCTTCTTTACGAGTAACCCAACACCTGAATTTGATTATGACTAAGCACATCTTTATTTATTGTGAATTATTCCAAGGAAATTAAGAAATGGTTCACAAAGTAATTTTATCAGCCGCAGCGTTAGACTTGTGGTTCTGGAGTGTTCATAACAGAACTATGGTATAGAAACAGAACATAAGTTTTTTAATTAAAAATTGAGCACATTTTAGAATATTTTCTTTTGAAGCTCTCTTATGTTGCCTTATCACACATTTCCTTTATCCATTCAGCAGCACAGTTGCATTATTGGCAAACATGTTTGTGAGGTGAAAAGTGAAATTCAATTCTGTCCAACCGCGGATAAGTGAGAGCTGGATATTTTGATGGCTGATTGTAAAACCTGTTTCCTTCCAGCAGCTTGTTTGTTTCTGGGATAAGAAAATTTGTTTCAGGAAAGCTTAATGAGTGTTTTAAGTGATTTTAGTAATATTAGTCCTCAGTCTTTGAACCTAAAATTGTCAAACAACATTTTTGTGAAAATTAACTCACTAGTTAATACAAATCCACTTAGAGGGTGTTAGCCCTCTAAGATAGTAACATCATGAGATTGTGAATTACCTCAGAAGCACAAGCCTGGGAGCTATATGGGAAAGTGAGTTTTAAAGAGATCTTAAGTTAGTTTTTACAACCAGACATGCTGTTCTAGTGTAGAGGTAGAATCTGAAGATAATAAATTGCTGGTTTAGAACTTGAATTTGTATTTTTTCTCCTTCAGTACCTTGTCCTCTGCAGTTAATTGCTTAATTTTATATAAGAGATCTCTTTCTCCAAATGGCTTATAATTTATCTGAGTTAATAAGTGCATTTTTGAAGCAAGTAATAGGCAATTACAAGGATTTTACCAGAAGATCTCCAATTTAAGACACCTGGACAGTGAGTAATGAAAGACAAAAAGCTCTTTGAAATTTAAGCCCCTTTTGAGCTATTTTGACATCTGCTTATCGAAGTCCTTTATTCTCTTGTATGTGGTCTTGTGTGTTGTTTCAGGCATAAATGAGCATATTGGGATCTACTCTGAATTTGACCTCATATTTTTTCCTTTTTTTTGGGAGGGGGGGGGGTATGGTACTAGGATTTTAATACTGTGGCATGAGACCTGAACTCATTTTTCACTGGTAGATCTCACTGAAAAAAAATTGCTATCTTATTGGTATCTTTTATTTTGGACTAATTTCCTTCTGGTCTGTCAGTGAATTGTGATGGGTAGTTATTCAAATGACTATTTGAATAATAAGAATTTAAACATTTTGCATCAAAACTAAAAAAACATAGATTCCTATCAATAAGGAGTTCAGTAGCAGAATATTTCAGAACTGCCGGGCATTGGTGGCTCATGCCTGTCATCCTAGCTACTCAGGAGGCTGAGATCTGAGGATCACTGTTCAAAGCCAGCCCAGGCAGGGAAGTCTGTGACACTATTACCTCCAATAAACCACCCAGAAAACCGGAAGTGGTGCTATGGCTCAAGTGGTGGAGCTCTGTTCTTGAGCTGAAGAGCTGAGGGACAGCACCCAGGCCCAGAGTTCAAGCCTCACCACCACACACAAAACAAAAATTCCATAATTTTATAGAACATTTTATAGAAATGCTGGTTATTGGTGGGGGGGTGAGAAGGGGGGAGATGGGAAGGGATGGTAAGGGGAAATAAAGGAGGAGGCAACAATGCTTGAGAAGAAATGTACTCATTACCCTGCTCATGTAATTGTAACCTCTCTGTACAGTATTTTCACAGTAAAAAAAATAAAGAAAAAAAATGCTGGTTAGTAGAAATTCAGACCTTAAAAAGTTTTTGGTCCTTGTAGGTAACACTTTAAAAACATACTTTGAAACCCTTGTAAGCTAGTCTCTAAAGAATTACTTACAAAATTGTTTTATAGGGTTACATACTATAAGTCCTCAGCCTTAATGTTAAGGGGCTTCTTGACTATAGTTAGTAAAATGTCTACTATGACTTGATATCTTTTAAATTTCACATTCACTATACCTTTTGTAGATGCCTTCAATTAAGTTACAGAGTTCTGATGGAGAAATATTTGAAGTTGATGTAGAAATTGCCAAACAATCTGTGACCATCAAGACCATGTTGGAAGGTAAGTTTATTAGAAAATTTGAATGGGAGGAAAGTAGAAAAAAATGGGTAATTTGAGATAAATATTGAATTTACATGAGTGATAGATCAAAGAATATGAAAGGATAAAATTTACATTCTGAGTTGAGTGCTGGTGGCTCATACTCTTGGCTGCTCAGGAGATTGAGATCTGAGAATTGAGGTTCAAAGACAGCCCAGCCTTTGCCAAAAAGCCAGAAGTGGAGCTGTGGCTCAAGTGGTAGAGTTCTAGCCTTGAGTAACAGAACAGTGTCCATGCTCTGAGTTCAAGCCCCAGGGGGGCACATGCACAGAATTACATTTTGGTTTTAGATGTATAAAGTGCATTGTTCTGATTTAGGCAGTCCTTTCTGCATTGTTTGAATGAATAGGTTTTTCCCCTTAGTAAATGAATAAAACCATAATCTATTAAAGATTGAAATGATCCCCAAGCTTCAGACTAGCTTATTTCTGTTCCAAGTAAGTTGGGAGTCACAAGTTCTTAAGGCAAAAATTAAAACTTCTGGAGAAAAGTTGTCTTGCTATATAGCAGCTAAGTGGAGCATGCTGTCTCAGAGAAAGTGTGGATTATGTGTGGAAAGATGTGTACATGTCTTTCTTTTTATTCCAAAATAAGCTTTCCCTTTTGTTTCTTGTCATCTTTTAGAAACTGGTACAGAACATATGCAGCACTTTAGTACTCAGATGTCAGAAGTTTTTATATACAACGATCTACAGCTTATAAGTAAATGAAGAGAGAGAAATGGCATGGTAGCACACTTTTATAATTCCAGTACTTGGGAGGGTGGGCAAGTGGATCATGAGTGTGTGCTCTACATAAAGCAAGGCTTGGAGAAGAGGAAGGGTTATGTGTTGTACTAACTGTAGTGAAAAGAAGGTAAAGGAGATGTCATCTTTGCTCTTGAAGAATTTAGAAACTAGGGAGTAGAGCCAGACACTAAAAGCAAACTGTCACTTGGTGTAATTAGTGCATTAGTTAAGTGCCAAGTGGTGCTGTGGGAGCATCTTGGCTGGTGTTATTTCAGGTTTTGGAAACACTTATAATGTAATCCTGGTGAGTAATAATTAGGATGTTTTGGGAGATCATGCTGAGGAATACAGGATAAATTAAGAAAAAGTAAAATTCAGGGATTTTTTAGCTGATTTGTTAGGAACAGGGTAGTCTTTTAATACTGTGGTTGGCAGAGTTGTAAATGAGTTTTGAGAGGAATTGAAAAGAATGACTTTGAGATTCTTTGAAAAGATCTGTGTAGCAATGTACGAGGCAATTGAGTATGGATCTTGGCCTGAGTTCTAGATTGCTAAAGATAGACATGTATAGTCTCACTTTATGCCCAGACCAGCCTGGATCCTCCTACTTATAGTTTCTTGTGTCACTGGGACTGACAAGTGAACACACCACTGTGCCCATATTGTGCTTCCCATACTACCATGCCCAGTCATCTCCCATTACTTGAAAGGAAGTTTCCCCTTTTTGCCTAGGATCTAGGCCTTAAGTCAAGGTTCTCAATCTCTGCCCCTCAAGTAGCTAGGACTTAGGAGCATGAGTTGGGCTCTGGCTTCTATATGCTTAACACCCCAGCCTTGCCCTAACTCCATCTTCTAGAAGTTGAATTGCAGGGTGTTTCTTCAGTTTTCTAAGTTAGTGACTTCTGTTTTTTGATAAAAGCAAAAAAAAAAAACTGCATTCTTTTAAGTAATTGGTACCAGGACTTGGAGTCCTTATATCCTGTTAACACACAGATTTCTTCTATTAAGTTTGTAAAACCATTGGTACATCCCACGGACCTGTTCATCAAGTATCTGTTGTGAAAAAGCATGGTTTGCTCACTAATAGTGTAAAAACAATCCCAAGTCTCCCTAAAGGTACATGAGTAGGCTTTTTCTAAAAGATGAGAAACTGATAGCAAAATTGATGCCTGTATACTAGTTTTTTTGGTTGGTCTTGGAGCTTGAACTCTGGGCCTGGGTGCTGTCTTCAGCTCTTCAGCTTAAGGCCAATGCTCTATCACTTGAGCTATAACACCACTTGTGGTTTTCCGGTGGTTAATTGGAGATAAGAGTCACTGATTTTCCTGCCTGGGCTGGCTTTGAACTGGGATCTCAGATTCAGCTTCCTGAGTAGCTAAGTATTGCAGGCATGAGCCACCAGCACCTGGCTCATCTTAGTTGATTTTTGATACACTAATATGTCTTGGGCTGCTTTACAGAAGCATTTGCCAATTTTAAGAACATAGAGGTCCTTTGATCACTGAAGCAAGTGAACTTGCTTTCCCTATGTATGTATCCTTTGAGATCAAAGGGAAATGGTTTAAGTACCAATGGTCTTATATAGGATTCTATTTGGGAGACTGGAATTTGGCAACTTCGGTGCTTTTCTTGTTTTGCATCTTCAGTATCTCTGGTTAGTTTCATGTGACTTAGAAAACAGTACCTTTTTTTTTTTTTTTAAAAAAAGGACAATCAGAAGTGAAGATCTTGGCATGTGTATGTGGATTGGCTTATTTGTTTTGGATCAGAATGTGATATCAGAATACAGGTGTCTTTCAGAAGTCCTTGAAACTAAATAGCATAAAGGAATGAGTGTTACTACTTGTGCATTAGGTCTTAAAAACAAAAAGAAAACATTACACACTTAAATGGTAGAGAAGTGTTCTTTATAACCACAAGGAACTTAGTACATTCCTTTGTAATCATAGACTACTTCCGTGTAAGTTGAAATATAAGCCAGCTGATCTGTGTTCTTTACCAATATATTCCCTAAACAAAAAAAAAATTTTTTTTTTGGCTAGTCATGGGACTTGAACTCAGGGCCTGGGCACTGTACTTGAGCTACAGAGCCAATTCCAGCCTTTTCTGTTTATGTGGTACTGAGGAATTGAACCCAGGTCTTCTTGCATGCAAGGCAAGCAGCTACCACTAAGCCACATTTCCAGCCCTCTTAATCTACTCTACCACTTTACTGAAATTTGTAAAGCTGAGTGACCTCGAGTACACAACTTTGGCTTCTAATTTTGGCACTTGACAGTTACTAAATAACTTTGTTAGATCTTTAGGTACCTAGAAGCTGAAGGGTAGAGCCATTTGGTTTAACTTTTTTTTTTTTGGTCAATCATGGGGCTTGAATTCAGGGCTTGGGTGTTCTACCACTTAACCACAGTTCCACTTATGGTTATTAGGTGGTAATTGGACTTTGCTGCTTGGGCTGGTTTTGCAGATCCCAGCCTCCTGAGTACCTAGGAGTACAGATGTGAGCTATCAGCACTGGGCTTTAACCTATTTTTATTCAGAATCTTTAACATGATTTTAACTCTATAGATTTTTTTCTCTGACAATTCACCAACCTTTCTGAGAATTTGAAAGCTAACTTCTTTTTACTAGAGAAACTTTGTTTCATAGTTACAAGTAATAAGTATATGATAAATAACATGCCCCAGAGTATATGTTGAAAATCAGTACCTCAGCTGGGCATAGGTACGTACCTGCCTGTGATTCTAGCTCTTACAGGCTAAGGATAGAGCCTAGTGGGTTAACAGGCCATCCTGGACTACATATAGCAAGACCCTGCCAACCAAAGAAGTACCTTACCCCACATTCTCTTTAACTTCCCTAGTCATAATATTAATTTTCCCCGCAGTGTCCTGAGACATTTTTAGGTAAATATAATAGCATGTCCTATTTTTATTAGATAATATTTATCTTTTTTTATTTTTTATTTTTGCTGGTCTTGGGGCTTGAACTCAGTGCCTGAGTGCTGTCCCTGAGCTTTTTTTGCTCAAGGTTAGCACTCTACCACTTGAGCCACAGCCCTACTTCAGCTTTTTGGTAATTTATTAGAGCTAAGAGTCTTCCAGACTTTTCTGCTTGGGCTGGTTTTTAACCTTGAATATCAGATCTCATACATGCATGAGCCACTGCACTGAGCTCAACTTTTACCTTTTTATACCTAGCTTTACTAATTCATTTTTGTGCTGGTCCTGGGGCTTGAATTCAGGACCTTGGTGCTGTCTCAGCATTTTCACTCAAGGCTCTGCCACTTGAAACATAACCCTACTTCAGGCAGGCACTTTGGTGGTTAATTGGAGATGAGTATGTTCATGCATTTTTTACCCAGGCTAGCTTTGAACCATGGTCCTCAGATTTCACCCTGTTCAGTAGCTAGGATTACACACATGAGTCACTGACACCCAGCTTATACTTAGTTTTTAAAAACTTGTCTTGAAACAAGAGGTTTCTTTGTTGCTGTTCGTGTTTTTTTTTTTTTTTTGTCTTGTTTGTTCCTTTATATGTTTTTGGGAGGGTAAGGAAGGGCACAGAAATGGAGGAACAAAGGGTGAACAAATGTGGCAGTGGTACTTACTAGATACTGTGTAGAAAATGAACTAATTTGTGGGTAGGGACAGGAGGGAAAAACTGGAAGAGTCCCCTCCCCTCCTCTTTCTTTTTTTGGTCGGTAGTGGGGCCTGAGCTTGGCCTGGGCACTGTTCCTCAGCTCTTCCTGCTCAGGGTTAGCGCTCCACCAGTTGAGCCACAGGGCCACTTACGGTTTTCTGAGTGGTTTATTGAGGGGCTGGGGGGTGGCTCAGTGGTAGAGCACTTGCCTTGCATGCATGAGGCCCTGGGTTCGATTCCCCAGTACCACATAAGCAAAAAGAAAAAAGCCGGAAGTGGTGCTGTGGCTCAAGTGGTAGAGCGCTAGCCTTGAGCTAAAAGAGCTGAGGGATAGTGCCCAGGCCCAGAGTTCAGGCCCCACGACTGGACCCTCCCCCCCAAAAAAAAAAAACTCAATGACTTTCCTTTCCGGGCTGGCTTTGAACCGTGATCCTCACATCTTAGCCTCCTGAGTAGCTAGGATTACAGGGAGGAGCCACCGGCGCCCATCCTAAATACTTTGCTTCTAATGAAGAACTTTACTGTGCCTGTATTTACTCACGCGATTACTTGGAGTAAAACACATGTCATTTGTCATTTCTGTTTCTAATGTTCTTAGTAAAATACCTCTTAATTTTCATTGAAACAACTTGTTTTGCAAGTTACTTGGTGTAAGTATTATAGTGGAGTTAGGAAATAATGGCTACTCTTCTCTGGTGTTCTTAGATTTGGGAATGGATGATGAAGGAGATGATGACCCAGTTCCTCTACCAAATGTTAATGCAGCAATATTAAAAAAGGTAAAGTCTTTATTTTTACTTTTTTTTTTTTTGGTGTGCTGGCAATCAACCCAGAAGTTTGAGCATGTTACACATATTCAGCCACCACTGAGATATATTGCCAACCTCAGGTAAGGTCTTTAAAGGGTTTAATTTTTAGAATTGGGTCACTTGGACTTCATTTAGTTGTGTTTTGAGACAAGTTCTTGCATTGTAGCTCTGACCTACCCTGAACACTTTAAGATCCTCTTTCCCCAGTGCCCCAAGTACTGGCTTGTTACTGCCACACTCTAAACTTTTTTTTTGGTTGGCTGTGGGGCTTAAATTCTGGGCCTGGACTCTGTCCCTCAGCTCTTCAGCTCAAGGCTAGCACTCCACCACTTGAGCATAGCACTACTTCCATTTTTCTGAGTGATTATTGGACGTAATAGTCTCATTGACTTTCCTGCCTGGGCTGGCTTTGAACAGTGATCCTCAGATCTCAGTCTCCTGAGTAGCTAGGATTACAGGCATGAGCCGTCGGCGCCCAGCTACTCTAGACTTTTTAATGAACTTAGCTTAGAAGGTTTTACATGCTTCCAGTGTGGCTTGAGTAAATGAGTATGAGTAAATCTAGGATATGATGATCTTTTTTTTGGGGGGGGGGTCCGGTCATGGGGCCTGGGCACTGTCCCTCAGCTCTTCACCTCAAGGCTAGCACTCTACCGCTTGAGACACAGCGCCACTTCCGGCTTTTTTCTTATGTGGTGCTGAGGAATCGAACCCAGGGCCTCGAGCATTCGAGGCAAGTGCTCTACCACTGAGCCACTTTCCCAGCCCCGGATATGATGATCTTAATCCTAAATCCACTTCCCTCATAGGGAAATGTAGATAGCTTTTTAAGACCAAAATTCTTTTTTTTTTTTTTTTTTTTTTTGATTGGTCCTGAGACTTGAACTCTGGGCCTGGGCGCTGTCCCTCAGCTCTTCAAAGGCTAGCGCTCTACCACTTAAGCCACAGCACCACTTCTGTTTTTCTGGTGATTTATTGGAGAAAGTCTCACAGGCTGGTTTTGAACTACGATCCTCAGATCTTGGCCTCCTGAGTAGGATTATAGGCGTTAGCCACTGGTGCCCCGCTAACTTACAATTTTTTAAAAAATAATTATTTTTTGCCAGTATTGGGGATTGAACTTGGGGCCTGGGTGCTGTCTCTGAGCTTTTTCACTCAAGGCTAGCACTCTACTACTTGAGCTACTGGTCCACTTTGGACTTTTGTTTTTTTTTTTTGGGTCCGGTCATGGGGCCTGAACTCTGGGCCTGGGCGCTGTACCTCAGCTCTTCAGCTCAAGGCTAGTGCTCTACCACTTGAGCCACAGTGCCACTTCCAGCTTTTTTCTTTTTGCTTATGTGGTGCTGATGAATCGAACCCAGGGCCTCATGCATGCAAGGCAAGCGCTCTACCACTGTAGAGCCACCTTCCCAGCCCCCACTTCTGACTTTTGGAAATTCATTGGAGATAAGAGTTTTAGCTGGGTGGTGGTGGCTGTGGTCCTAGCCACTGAGGAGGTTGAGATCTGATGGTTGTGATTTGAAGCCAGCCTGGGCAGGAAAGTCTGTGAGAGTCTTACCTCCATTTAACCACAAAAAAATTGAAGTGGCGCTGTGGGTCAGGGACAGAGCCCAGGCCCTGAATTGAAGCCCTACAACTGACCAAAGAAAAAAGCCCAATGGATTTTGTTGTCCTGGCTGATTTTGAACTGTGATCTTCAGATCTCAGCCTCCTGAGAAGCTAAGATCACAAGTTTGAGCCACTGCAAGCATATAGCATCCCTTTTTTAAGTGTTAGGGGGTAAGGTTTGTAACTGGATAATTTATGGTAGCTTGTTGTTGCAGACATTGTGAATATTTGAATTGTCTAGTCTTTTGTACCACGAACATTTGGTGAAATACAACAAATAGCATATGTGCTTAGGGAAAAAAAATGTATTTGTTGCGAACAATGAGAACTTGAAAATAACCTGTGGGTTTTTTGTTTTGTTATTGATCACCTTTGTATGACATACCTTTGTATGTCTAAGTATGAAGAGTCCCCATATTGTATAGGATTTTAGGACAAAGGGCTTACTAACACATTGTAAAGAAAAATAACCTTTAGGAATATCCATTGGGATAAAAAGTGGCCAAATGTAGAGAAAAGACTGTTCAGCTCCAGTTGGCTTTTGCCTGTTGGAGACTTCGAAGGTCACTGAAGGTCACTGATTTGAAATTTATGCAGTTTCATCTTAGGCTTTCTCTTAAGAACTTGACTCCTGCATTAGTTGGAGCTACATTGTCTATTTTTTCATACTCTTACCAACACTGACTATTAGTCTTCCAGTGGCTCATGTTGGTACTTAGCTACTCAGGAGGCTGAGATCTGAGGATCACAGTTTCAAGACAGCTTGGATAGGAAAGTCCTTAAGACTCTTGTCTCCATTTAAGCACCACAAAGCCAGAAGTGGAGCTGTGGCTCAAGTAGAGCACTAGACTTGAGCACAAAAGCTCAGAGACAGTACCTAGGCTCCCTGATGCAAGCCTCAGGACTGGCACAAAAAAGTGATTTTTTTTTTTTTTTTTTGTAAATGGTTGGATACTTTTTCACTTACTGGCCACTGTTCAGTGTTGTCTGTTTTCATTTAAGCATCCTTTTTAATGGTCTTAAGAAGTACAAAACTTTTTTTAGTTTAACAAATACAGAGGTTTTTTTCCCTCTCTTAATTGGTGCTGAGGAATCGAACCCAGGGCCTCATGCATGCGAGGCAAGCCCTCTACTACTGAACCACCTTCTCAGCCCAGGTTTTTTTTTTTGTTTTGTTTTGTTTTTTGTCGATTGTGGGGCCTGAACTCTGGGCCTGGGCCCAGACTTCATCTCAAGGCTAGCCCTCTACCACTTGAGCCACACCCCCATCTCTTTTGCTTCAGTTATTTTTCAGATAGGTGTATTATACCTGGGGCCATCCTCAGTCCTACCTACTACAACTCCCACATAGCTGGGATTATTGTTGAGATTGGAGGAATGGGGAGTCTTACTTGTGTGGAGCTGGTATTGATCTTCCTAATTTTTGCTGCCTCAATGGCTGAGATTACAGATGTGGCCCACCATTCCTTAACCAAGAATTTTTCTTACCAGTGTGCTTATTATGTAATACATAATATTTTATGGTTTAAAAGCTATAAACTGTTATCTTATTGGATTTCATTTTTTCCCTGAATTCTACAAGTGCTCTTCCACTGAGCTAAATCCCCAACCCTCTACATACTGCCTTATAATTAATATTTTCTGTATTAATGTAAAATGCTTTTGAAAGAACTTTTTTTTTTGCCAGTCCTGGGGCTTGAACTGTCCCTGACCGTCTTTTGCTCAACTAGCACCCAAACACTGGAGCCACAGCGCTACTTCCAGGCTTTTTTGTTTATGAGGTACTAAGAAATTGAACCCAGGGCTTTGTGCATTCCCAGCCAGTGAAAGTACATTTGTTTGTTGTCAGTTATTTGTAGTCATTCAGAGTTGTGTACAGTTATGAACTAAAGAAATAAACACTGTACATTCTAGAAGGGTATAGATATGTCAATGTGAGAAATAAGTCAGATGGGAAAGAAAAGCTATGGAGAATAAAAAAGAGAAGGCATATCGAGTTGATTGGTGAAAGATTAAGTATTTTTAGAATAAAAATGGTTAGGAAATGCGTTTCCAAGTAGATGATCTTAAAGACTTGAAGATTGAGGAGAGGAAGGGGTGCTGTGGCTCAAGTGGTAGAGTGCTCGCTTTGAGCTGAAGAAGTGCATAGGGACAGCGCTCAGGCCCAGAGTTCAAGCCCTATGACCAGGGGGGGAAAAAAAGATTGAGGAGAAAAAATTTTGGATTTGGGTCCTAGTGCTTGACTGGAAGACAAGAGTATGCTAGCGTGGGAGCTAGAACATAGTGACCAAACATGGAGATACAGTAGATGTGGTTATCTCAGGCTGCTTCTGAGGATGAAGTTTTTAACCGATTTGCATGATTCCAAACTGAAAGTACTATAGTAGATTTTCCATACTTGTTTTCTCATCTGACCAATAACAATCTTATATAATTTGCACGCACGTGTGCGTATTTGTTTGTGTTGGAACTTGGGCTTGAATTCCAGTTCCCTTGCTTTCCCTCAGTTTTTTCACTCAAGTCTGGCACAATACCAGTTGAGCCACATCTCTGCTTCCCACTTTTTGATGATTAATTTTCTGCCTTGGCTGGCTTCAATTGAGATACTTACTAGCTTGAGTGGCTTGAGCCACTAATACCTGGTTTCTTTTCATTGAGATAAGGTCTCACTTGAGCCCAGGCTTGAACTCAGGATCTTCTGGCTACAGCCTCCTAAGTGCACAGGTTACAGCCCTGAGCTACATTAAAAAAAAAATCTCTTGCTGGGCACCGGTGGCTTTTGCCTGTGATCCTAGCTGCACAGGAGGCTGAGATCTGAGGATTGCAGTTCAAAGCCAGCCCGGCAGGAAAGTCTGTGAGACTCTATCTTCAGTTAACTACCAGAAAACCAGAAGTGGTGCTGTGGCTCAAGTGGTAGAGCGCTTGCCTTGAGCCGAAGAGCTGAGGGACAGCACCCAGGCCCAGAGTTCAAGCCCCATGACCGACAAAAATAATACCTGAGGCAAGTGCTAATTGCTGTTTCTGTCTTCTTCTATAACTAGGTTCCTCCTTTCAAAAGTTATTATTAAAGTCTCTCCTCTCTTTTTGTGGTACTGGAGTTTTAAACTTATTACCTCAAGCCCTTTTGCCTTATTTTTTTTCAGAGATAGTGTATTGTGCTCTTTGCCTAAGCCAACCCCAAACCCCCTTGCTATTTCATTGATGGGATTACAGATATAAACTGATAGGGCCTTGTTCACTTGCTTAGGCTGGGCTCAAACCTCAGTCCTATTTCTGCCTCCTTAATGACTGGGATTGTAGGTGAAAGCCACTGCACCTGACTGGCTTTTCCTTTTTTCTTTCTTTCTTTCTGACACCCGGCTTATTCTTAGGTTTTTGATGAATGTCTATTAATTTCCACAGTGGCTATAGGAGTTTACAGTTCCACCAATACTGTATAAAGGTTTCCCTTTTTGTTGTTGCTGTTTCTTGGTAATTATTCTGAATGAGATGAGATAGACTCTCAGTGGGGATTTCTCTGGTGCTGGTCCTGGGGCTTGAATTCCGGGGCCTGGGTTTTTTTTGCACAAAGGTAGCACCCTACCACTCAAGCTACAGTTGCACCTTTTTTTTTTTTTTTTTTTAGTGGTTATTTGGAGATAAGAATCTCACCAGGCTGGTTTGTTACTGGCCTGTACCATCATGACCAGCCTGCAGAAGTTTTTAATGCACTATCAAGTATATTACCCTGTCTGCATGGCTTGCTTTTATCTGCTAAGATCTTTCACCTGTTAAGTATTTTTAAAGATTCTTCAAGCTTCATTTTTGCTTTTCAAACTAGTCTTTCCTGAAGTTTATCCCCTTGCTCAAGTCAACAACCTCTTCTTATCCCAAGAATAAGGGATGTTCCAGCAGGGGAATGAATATGTTGTAACAAAGACCACAGAGGGATTTGTTCTTCTGTTGTTTCAGGTCATTCAGTGGTGCACCCACCACAAGGATGATCCTCCTCCTCCTGAGGATGATGAGAACAAAGAAAAACGTACAGATGATATTCCTGTTTGGGACCAAGAATTCCTGAAAGTTGACCAAGGAACACTTTTTGAACTTATTCTGGTATGTCTTTATAAGATAGTTCTATTCCAGAGTATGTATGTGGTAGCTGAAATTGATAAATGCATCACTAGTGAGCTGTAATATCCTCTGAGCACAAATGTAATGTTATATTTAAAGCCCTATATTAACAATTACAGTTAATATAAGTGATCCAAATACCAGTTAAAAGGCAAAGATGGCAGATTACATAGAAATATAGGACTCAGCTGTGCTTTAAATGTAAACTCACAATTGTTTAAAATGGGAAAATAAATATATGCCAACACTAAGAAGGCTACAGTGACTATATCAAAGTAGATTTTGTATCAGAGTAGATTTTGTAACAGAATGTTAACAGAATAAGAGGAATCAGGGCTGGGATGTAGCTCAGTGGCAAAGCGCTTGCCTAGCAAGTGCATATAGTTAAAAAAAAAAAAAAAAAGAGGAATCAATTCATCAAGAGGATATAAGAAGAACTTCCAGAAAGTGAAACAAAAACCAGTGGAAGTCAGATGAGAAATAGGCAAATCTCTAGTCATAGATATCCCAGTATTTGTTTACTAATAATTAATGGAACAAGTAGATAAAATCAGTATATACTGAACAATATGACTGATTAACTTGTCTTAATTGACACGCACAGAACATTTATATCTAGTGACAGTAGAATTCTTAAGATAGACCATGTTCTGAGCCATAAACTGTCAAGAATTCAAGTCATAAAAATTTAATTTAGCTAAGGGTTAGTGGCTCATACCTGTAATTCTAGCTACTCAGGGGGCTGAGATCTGAGAATTGTGGTTTGAAGCCAACCTGGGCAGGAAAGTCCATGAGACTCATCTCCAGTGAACTACTTAGAAAAAGGTGAAAGTGGCACTGTGGCTTCAGGTTGTGACTCCAGGTGGTAGAGCACTAGCCTTGAGCTAAAGAAGCTCAGGTACAGTGTCTACTCTCTGCATTCAAACTCAAGGACTAGCACCAAAAAAAGTATATTATTTTACTTCAGTGGAATTAAAAGTTATCATATCTAGGCAAATATGGAAATATTTAAAGAGTAGCATGTTTTCAACAGATGAAGAAATCTGAAAAAATGAGAAAAATAGCACTTCAAAGTTAATTAGCTATGGGCTGTTTAGTCGCTAACTTTGGATTTAGTCTAGTATACTTCAGTGAACAGCTGTCATTTTACAGGCTGCAAACTACTTAGACATCAAAGGTTTGCTTGATGTCACATGCAAGACTGTTGCCAATATGATTAAGGGGAAAACTCCTGAGGAGATTCGCAAAACTTTCAACATTAAGAATGACTTTACTGAAGAGGAGGAAGCCCAGGTAGGTTAGGTATCACATTGTTTGTCTAAGAGTTTTCCTATCAAGGAGTGTTGATACTTGAGGAATTAGTGTGTGCCCTGCATCCTGCTTACACACGTTATGTGTCTGAATCTATAAACATTTAAATAACACTGCTCTTTTATAAACATAAGAAAAAATGGGTTTTGATCTAGAGATTCTTATTCAGTAACAATTTCTAGTTTCAGTACTTGGGACGTTTTGTCATAGGTTTAACATTATTTGATTTTAAAAAAAGAGGCCAAAAGGACAAACTTAATCGTCTATTGCCTTTGCTTTTTTGATAATTTCAGCAAGGCAGAATACAAACCTGGAGAAGCAAAGAAATAAGGAATCAGGAAATAAACTGTGTCCGTCCGTGTGTGTGTCCGTCCGTGTGTGTGTCCGTCCGTGTGTGTGTCCGTCCGTGTGTGTGTGTCCGTCCGTGTGTGTGTGTCCGTCCGTGTGTGTGTGTCCGTCCGTGTGTGTGTGTGTGTATGTGTATGTCCCGCGGCTTGAACTCAGGGCCTGTGCACTGTCACTAAGTTTTTATTCTCAAGGCCAGTGCTCTACCATTTTGAGCCACAGCTCCACTTCTGGCGTTTTTGGTGCTTAAATGGATGTAAGAATCTCATGGGCTTTTCTGTCCAGGCTGGCTTTTATTTTTATTTATTTTTATTTTTTGAATTTAACCTCACAATTTTATTGTCTTCATAACAAAAGTTGTAGCTTAGAACTGGATCCCTTGCCCCCCCTTTTTTTTTGGGGGTCTGGTCATGGGGACTGAACTCTGGGCCTGGGTGCTGTCCCTCAGCTCTTCAGCTCAAGGTTAGCGCTCTACCACTTGAGCCACAGCGCCACTTACAGCTTTTTTTCTTTTTGCTTATGTGGTGCTGAGGAATCGAACCCAGGGCCTCAGGCATGCAAGGCAAGCGGTCTACCACTGAGCCACCTTCCCAGCCCCGCCCCTTTCTCTTTTTATCTCCACCCAGTTCAAAAATGTTTGCATCTCTTAATAGCTCATTCTCGTAGATCTACAGTTGGGCTCAACATATTCAAGTCTCAGCACAATCTTCTTTGTAGTCTTAGATTTTTCCAGAAAATTGGCTTAGTCTGACCGCCATAGCCACTCTGCTTCCTGTCATAGCGACGCTTTCCCTGGGCATACAGAGAATCCTTGCTCTTCTTGTACTGTGTTACTTTGTGAGGTTGGTGCTTGCCACACTTCTTACAAAAAGTACAACGGGTTTTAGGAAGTTAACCATGATGGCAGGAGGCCTGCAGCAGCACCAAAAAAAAAAGCAGGCTGGCTTTTAAATGTGACCTTCAGAGCTCAGCCTCCTGAGTAGTTAGAATTATAGATATGAGCCACTAGTGCCTGACTAGAAAATAAACCTCTAATATTTTTCCAGCTTTTCATCTGCCCTTCTGACTCAGACTATTGAAGACTATGGGGATTTTTAGTTTCTGAGTCTAGCCTCTAGGTATAGTAGAACCTAGTACTTTCAAGTCTTTCAATGTTTGTCTCTTCTTCTAGGTACGCAAAGAGAACCAGTGGTGTGAAGAGAAGTGAAATGTGCCTGACACTGTAACATTACAAGGATTGTTCCAAATACTAGTTGCACTGCTCTGTTTATAATTGTTAATATTAGACAAACAGTAGACAAATGCAACAGCACATCAATTGTATTAGCGTAATATTGTCCTCATTGCATGTGTAGTTTGAATACACATCCCAAACTTTGGCTGAGTTTCTTCTAGTCCGAGTGAAAGCTTCTCTTTTCTGAATAAAACAATTGTGGGTTCTCTGTGGAAAGTGGCATTTTAGGATTTCTTTCTGTAAGAGCAATTTCTGCCTAGTTTATTGTCTAGTTAACTTTAGTTAAGCTTGCAGAAGTTGGCATTGTAAATAGGACAGGTTGCAACAAGGTTTCTGATAGAATTAACAAACTATATCTTTATTCACAAATTGGAAACTAGAAAAAGGCTACTTGAAGTTAATGTTCTTAGAGGGGTTTTTCGTATATTGTCTAGAGTCTAGCCAGGACCATTGGTATGCATGATGTAGGGCTCTTAGTTGGACCTGAGGACTCTTTATTTCACCTAATTTTTAATCTCAACTTTGAATACGTTGCCTAGAGATTCAGTTACTATCAAGTTTAGATAGTGTTTGGGGGGGAGAAATGTAACTAGACAACTGGTTAGCTTTTTGATTAAAAGCACTTAATTTATGTGGTATGTCATCTTTTTCTGATCCAGGGTTTCCTTGTGGAGAAAACAGTTCATATTAGTTGCATGTAAAAAAAGCAATTAAACCTTTGCCATTGAGTAGGTGGCTAAATTAAAAAATCCTTCATAAGATTCTTCCAATAAAAAGTAAGTTGCAGAGTAGGTAACAGTTTGCTTTTGTGGCTTAAATGTGTCTCCTCACTTAAGTGGGTTAAATTTGTATATTAGTTTGAAAAATTCTTTCTTTTTCTTTTTTTCTTTTTGGGTCTGGTCGTGGGGCCTGAACTCTGGGCTTGGGTGCTGTCCCTCAGCTCTTCAGCTCAAGGCTAGTACTCTACCACTTGAGCCACAGCGCCACTTGCAGCTTTTTTTCTTTTTGCTTATGGGGTGCTGAGGAATCGAACCCAGGGCCTCAGGCATGCAAGGCTCTACCACTGAGCCACCTTCCCAGCCCCTAGTTTGAAAAATTCTTAAGCAGATTTGTCTTGTTCACTAAATTATGAGATTGCTGGTAGAACCTGAATGTACTGATAGGCTTTTGGCTTTTGTCTCCTAATTCCTGTTGTGTTTTTTTGTTGTTGTTGTTGTTTTGTCGGCCATGGGGCTTGAGCTCTGGGCCTGGGCACTGTCCTTGAGCTTTTGAGCTCAAGGTGAGCATTCTACCACTTGAACCACAGCTCCACTTGTGGTTTTCTGGTAGTTAATTGGAGACAAGTCTCACAGACTTTCCTGCCTGGACTGGCTTTGAACTGAGATCTCAGATCTCAGCCTCCTGAGTTGGTTCCCAGCTTCTTGTGGTTGCTTTTTGTTTGTTTCTTCAATTTTTAAATTTTTGTTGGTGATAGGGGCCTGGGTGCTGTCCCTGAGCTTTTTGCTCAAGGCTAGTGCTCTACCACTTGTCAGTTTTCTGGTTAATTGGAGATAGGAGTCTCAAGCCTTTTTTGCCCAGGCTGGCTTTGAACCGTGATTCTCATATCTCAGCCTCCTGAGTAGTTAGGATTTTACAGGCGTGAGTCACTAGTGCCTGGCTTCTAATTCCTGTTCATATGTTAACTGGAATCACTGCTTCCGTTTGTAATTGCGCTGGTATTATCTGGTATTGTTTCTGGCTTCTCCATTAAGGTTGAAAAATGTTTTGATGGCTTGAGATGATTCACAAAGTTAAATGGACTTACTCTTTCCTCCTATCTTCCCCCTCCCCCTTTATTCCTTTTTTTTCCTCTTTCCTAGTTCACATTTTCTTTTTCTTTTTTTTGCCAGTCTTGGGGTTTGAACTCAGGCCAGGCACTGTCCCTGAGCAGCTTTTGCTCAAGGCTAGCACTCTACCACTTGAGCCACAGTACCACTTCCAGCTTTTTCTGTGTGGGGGGTACTGAGGAATTGAACCTGGGGCTTCATGCATGGTAGGCAAGTGTTCTACCATGAAGCCACATTCCCAGCCCCCTTTTTCCTGTATTTTCCTGTTTATTGTGAGATATCTTGGCTTTGGTTGATTATGTAAAACCTATTATTTTGCCAAGTTTGCCTTACCTAATTGCCCTATATTCTTGCCACACATTACTTGCTTAATGTTTGCTATCCTCATGGTTGCTTGATCTATTAAGGTAGCTTTATAATGCCTTTTAGACTTACGATAGCAGTACACTATAACTTTAAGCCAGCACAGGCTGGCTTCAAATTCCTGATTGCTTTTGCCTTAGCCTTCCAAGTGCTGCAGACATGTACCATCATGCCTCTTTTCTTGCCAAAGATAGTAAACATATGTGGGTCATATTTGGACCGTGATGTTTTTAATCCTAAAACAGTAAGCATTGTTTTAAAAACAAAACGGGCACCAGTGGCCTCACACTAGTAATACTAGCTACCTAGGCTGAGATTTTTTTTTTTTCTCCTTTTGATCAGTCGTGGGGCTTGAACTCTGGACTTGGGCGCTGTCCCTCAGCTCTTCAGCTCAAGGTGAGCACTCTATTGCTTGAGCCACAGCGCCTCTTCCGGTTTTCTAGTGGTTTTATTGGAGATAAGAGTCTTACAGACTTTCCTGCCTAGGCTGGCTTTGAACCGAGATCCTCAGATCTCAGCCTCCTGAGTAGCTAGGTTTACAGGCATGAGCCACTGGTGCCCGGCCTAATAACGAAGTTGTTTTTGTTTTGTCTGTTGTGGGGCTTGAACTCTGGGCCCGCTGTCCCTCAGCTCTTCAGCTCAAGGCTAAGCCACTGCGCCATTTCCCAGGCTGAGATTCTTAGGATCGTGGTTTGAAGTTAGCCTGGGCAGGAAAGTTCATGAGGCTATTATTTCCAATTAACCAGCAAAAAAGCCAGATCTAGAGGGGTGGCTCAAGTAGTGGCTCAAGTGGTAGTGCACTAGCTTTGAGCAAAAGTTCAGGGACAACACCCAACCCTGAGTTCAAACCCAGGATTTGGAACAAAGAAGAAAACCCAAAAAAAAACAAAAAGCAAGGGCTGGGAATGTGGCTTAGTGGTAGAGTGTTTGCCTACCATGCATGAGGCCCTGGGTTCAATTTCTCAGTTCCACATAAACAGAAAAAGCCACAAGTAGTGCAGTGGCTCAAGTGGTAGAGTACTAGCCGTGAGCAAAAGAAGCTTGGACAATGCCCAAGCCCTGAGTTCAAGCCATAGGACTGGCCAAAAATAAGAGACTATAACTTACGAAAAAGGCTTTAAAATACTTCTGGGGCTGGGAAGGTGGCTCAGTGGTAGAGCGCTTGCCTTGCATGCTCAAGGCCCTGGGTTCGATTCCTCAGCACCACATAAGCAAAAAGCCGGAAGTGGCGCTGTGGCTCAAGTGGTAGAGCGCTAGCCTTGAGCTGAAGAGCTGAGGGACAGCGCCCAGGCCCAGAGTTCAGGCCCCATGACCCGACCCAAAAAAAAAAAATCTATGGCATTTTACAGAAAGTTTGCTGGTCCCTAAGCTTGTTTTCTGTTTGTGGTGATTCACTTGGGAAGTAACAATCCAGTTCTAGGTGAGGTTTTTTTGTCTATAGTGCATACTATATTAATTCCTGTAGCCTATTAATGTCCTGCCAACCCACCAAACCTGGTTGGGATTAGCTCTTGACCAGAAGGACAAGCAAGAAACGCCATTATTCATAAAAGTTCATTGCATCTTTTAGATTAGAGACTATAGGGATTTTGTGTGTGTGCCAGTTCTAAGGCTTGAACTCAGGGCCTAGACATTGTCCCTGAGCATTTTTCCCTCAAGGCTAGCACTGTACCACCTGAGGCACAGCTCCATTTCCAGCTTTTTGGTGGTTATTTGGAAGTGAGTCTCATAGATTTTCCTGCCTAGACTGGTTTCAAACTGTGATTCTCAGATCTCAACCTTTGAGTAGCTCTTTTGAGTGGCATGCGCCATAGGTGTCCTCTTTTTGTAGCCTATAGCCCTTGTCTTTTTTTTGGGTCCGGTCGTGGAGCCTGAACTCCGGGCCTGGGCACTGTCCCTCAGCTCTGTTAGCTCAAGGCTAGCGCTCTACCACTTGAGCCACAGCGCCACTTCCGGCTTTTTCTTTTTCTTATGTGGTGCTGAGGAATCAAACCCAGGGCTTCATGCATGCAAGGCAAGCGCTATACCACCGAGCCACCTTCCCAGCCCCGTAGCACTTGTCTTTTTGAGATGGGGTCTTGTTATGTTGCTCAGGCTGGTCTTAAACTTCCCTTACCTCCAAGTAGCTAATGATCAATACTTTGTTTCTTTGGTCAGTCGTGGGGCTTGAACTCTGGGCTTAGGTGCTGTCCCTGTGCTCTTTAGCTCAAGGTGAGCACTCTACCACTTCAGCCATAGCGGTTTTCTAGTGGTTTATTGGAGATAAGGGTCTCACGAGTTTCCTGCCCGGGCTGGCTTTGAACTGTGATCCTCAAATCTCAGCCTCCTGAGTAGCTAGGGTTATAGGCATGAGCCACCAGTGCCCGGCTGTTTTTGATAATCTTAAGTTCATGCTAATAATATATCTCAAAAGCTCCTTTGAGAAAATGGGCTGTTTGCAGCTGTTTACCAGATAAGGAAGTTCTCACTTTGGCTGTTGTAATATTTTGCTATACTTTTCTCCCTGTTTCCTGATAAGTAGTAGCCCTTTCCTATTACCATAGCAGCTAGGCCTTACTTTTGGAAGGTACCCTCATTTCTAACCACCTTACCTCTCAGCTCTTCACGCAAATGTGGTATGTTATACCTTGAGATTAGACTTGCCTTCTTAGTGCTTGCATGACCTTTGGCAGGTTGAAAACAGTAGCTGTTAAGATTTAGTCTTGTGGAATAGGCATCTTGAGACTGAATTAGAGGCTACTTGGTGGCAGAGTTGCCTCTATTTAAGTGTACTCTGAATTTATGTATAGAAAATGGAAGTGAACAATCTCTGAAGTACAGGTTTGGGCATGAAAACAACTAGTTCCTATGAAATGAGGTAATGGTGGTGGTGGGCTTGGCTTACAAATTAGTTACTGGTGATAAATCATGAAGACATTTCTCCAATTGCTGCTACTCAGAAAAGAAGCCTCCTCTAACTTAAGTGCTTAACTAGGAAATACCCTTTATTTTGCCAGGATAATAATCAAAGTGTTTGGCATTTTGGGGTGATGGATAGCTAAGGGTGAAGAACATTTGCCGATTTTTCTGTGCACCCAAAGAAAATGCACAGCTGCCATCTACAGCGCTGTCCATCTCAGTGAATGGTAAGGACTCTGGTAACTCAGTTGTCTGGCTTGCTGGTTTTACATGGTGAATGTCACTTGAAATTTAAAAACCAAACCTTTCCTGAATGTTAGCTTCCCCACCCCTATTAGGCTAAAAATAAGCCTCTTCCAATAGATTGCTAATTCTGATTACTGTAGAACTATCTTTTGAACTTTCTTTCAAAGTGTTAACTGCTTTTGTTTTTGTTTTTGGTTGGTTATAGGGCTTGAGCTGGCTCTTCGGCTCAAGGCTAATGCTCTATCCCCTTGAGTCACAGCAACACTTCTGGTTCTCTGGTGGTTTATTGGAAACGTGTTTCACAGCCTTTCCTGCCCAGGCTGGCTTTGAGCCACGATTCTCATATCTCAGCCTCCTGAGTAGCTAGGATTACAGGCATGAGCCACCGGTGCCCAGCGCGTCATTGCATTTTACTAGCTCACTTTCACAAGTATTTCTTTAATATGGATTTCATTTTATGATTTCTATGTTTTTTGAAAGATTCACAAAGCTCTCCACCAGAGGACAGGAGATCTTCAACAAGGCAATTCTAATAGATTGGGGGAATTAACACAGTTTAGGAACCATAGTCTGCTCAGGTGGACTCCTTATTAACCTATTGAACTTATTAACCTATTAAAATTTCAGATGAGGAACTTTAGGAGACCAGTCAGCTAATGTAGCCTTCCTAACACCCAAGCCAGTTGAGCTTTTTGTGTAACTGGTTTTAAGTTCTGCTTTGCTTTGTTAGTCTTGCAAGTATGGCCTTGTCATTATTGCCCGCTCTGTTCGGTTCTTTTCTGTTCTGGAGATGGTTGCAGGAACTCCTTTTCTTCCTGCCTCCCATGTAAAGAAGCATTCTTCTGTTATTAAGTGGATTTGTTATTAGTGTGGTTCCTTGTGCATGAAACAGATTTAGGAAGCAGTATGTCTGACCCTACTTGTTCCAGTCAAAAGAAACTTGAGACCATGGGAGCCATTCAGAAATCAGTTCTAGACTTCTTAGAAAAGGAAAACAAGTTCTAATTGGAAGACTTGCCAGACTGAACCTCTACCGTATTCCCTCTGCACAGGATGGAGTGCAGCTGTTGTAGAAGGGTAGTAAAATACAGTCTGATATCTAGAATTAGAACATCAGACCAGGATCCTGTTTCTATGCTCAGAAAACTGGATTGGTTCTTGGCTGCCTATGATTGGGGACTGGAATAGCTTTTGAAGTTCAACTTGTGTTTATAACCTTGTCACCTTCTGGCCTCATAGGAGTGTTGTGGTGTGATTTGGGAGGATTCAGATTCTGTTTTTGAAGTGAAGGGCAAGGGCTTTTTTTTCCCCCTAGAGATCTGGTCTAACAAAGTTGCCAAAGACTGCCCTGTACCAACTATACAAAGGGCACTTTGTTCCTGTAACCATTGTGCTGTAAATGACTCCAGATCAGATGAAACCACCCAGTCTTGCACAAGCCCTATTAGGATGCAGTTTTTGGAAACAAGTAGGCCAGTAGCTAGAGTGGAATTCTTTAAAATGGGACAGATGTCCAGAGAATGGCTGGTGTCCTCTACCACGTTCCCAGGAAGAAGGTGGTCTGGGATTACAAGTGGCCTACTTTTTTGAGACAGTATCACTGTGTGGCCCTGCCTGACCTTGAACTTGAGATCCTCCTGCTTCAGCTTCTCAACTGCTAGGATTATAGATGTATACTCTGGCCCAGTCTAGTGGCCCTTATTCATAAAGATGATTTTTGTATTTTCAAAAAAGTCAAATCTGGGGGCTAAGATAAAGTACATGATGGTGGCTTGGTAAGCAGTCCTTTGTGACACATTTCTTAACGTTATTTAGTGGCTGATTAACCTATTGGTGGCTTTATGATATCTTTCACGTTTATGAGAGCAGTGTTTACCACAGGAGCCATAGCTCCACTTTTGGCTCTTTGTTTTGGTAATTAATTGGAGATGAGTCTCTAGACTTTTTTGCCTGGGCTGGCTTTCAACTGCAGTCTTCAGGTCTGAGTCTCCTAAGTGCCAAGAATTAAAGGCATGACGGGCTGGGAAGGTGGCTCAGTGGTAGAGCGCTTGCCTTGCATGCATGAGGCTCTGGGTTCGATTCCCCAGCACCAAATAAGCAAAAAGAAAAAAAGCCAGAAATGGCGCTGTGGCTCAATAGAGCACTAGCCTTGAGCTGAAAAGCTGAGGGACAGCGCCCAGGTCCAGAGTTCAGGCCCCACGACCGGACCCAAAAAAAAAAATAAGGCATGAGCCACCAGGCACCTAGTAGCAGTATACTTTGCATGTCTGCCATGTAAAGAGTAAATTATCACTCACCTTATAGGTCTTAAATAAAAATAGGAAAAATTATGTCTTTAACACAGGCCTTTGGAAGGAAAGAATGACATTATAATCATGTAAGATGACATCAAGTGATTAAAAAAAAACTGGCCAGGCATAAATCTGTAAGAGCAACATTCCAAAATAAAAACCGGAGAAAGCCACCTGGAAGCATGACTAAAGTAGAGCAAGCAAGCTGAACAATGCCAGGTCCAGAACCAAACCCTAGTACCAAAAAACCAACAACCCTCTTGATCTTTGCTTTAAATGTGTTCTTGTGAAGCATCTCTTTTGTCTGCCTGGAGTAATGTCATGTATCTATGCATCCATAGTTCCAACTAAATTTCCTAAAAACACTGGGAAGCAGGCTGGCTTGGGGTTAACAGCACCCTTTGGAAAGGGAACTTACAGCTAGTATGATCTTTGTTCTCAGGGTGAAACAAGATGAGAGTAACCCCTGAGTGGGAGAGTGAGTCTATAGGCCGGAGCCTTAGTAATTACACCAGAACCACCCAAGCTTTATTGTTAAGAGGGAAGTGTTCAGTTCTGTTACCCAAAATAGCTTAGTCCTCAGTGTCAGGCTTTGAAAAAACCCAGTAAAAAGTATCTTTATTATGTTTAAAAAAGTTTCTCTATGATGACACATTAATAATACAAAAATACTTTGAATACTACATTGGTCTTCTTCCCCCCCAAGACCTCTTGTAACACTACACTAGAATATGTGATCTTTGGATTCTGAAAAACCAGTGGCTAAAGTAGGAACTAAAAGTTTTTTCTTGAGAGGCGTTTGGAATAGACAGCCAGTTTTCTTTGGATTCAGACTAGGTACAGTGAAAAATGCAAAAAAAAAAAAAAAAAAATTAAGGCTCAGGATTGAAGCTTGGCTCAAAAATGTTAAAGTGGCTTGTGGTGAAAATCATGTCCACCACTAGAGGTTTCTGGGCTCCTGGGTTTTAGTTGTGATGGTTCTTCCTGCAGCCCCGTAAGGAAATGCAAGCTGGCCTAGTCTGCATACTGGATAGGCTTTGCAGGCGTAGGGCCAGTGTCTGTCTGCTCATAGCTGCCCAGAAGCTGGCTCAACTAACTGATGGGGATGAGGTGGACGTGGAAGTGAAAAGATTAATAAGCGGAGATGTGTAATTTGAAATAAAACCAGACACCCTCTATACCCACATTTGCTTGCTGGGGGGGGGAGGGGGCAGGTTATTCCTGTTGCCTGGACTCATAGGCCTAATTCCATTTGCTCCTTTCTTGCAAGCTTGAGAACATGGTGAGAGGCTTCTTCTGGTCCAGCTTAGGAGTAGCAGCTGGTTTGTTGTAAACAGCTTCTCAATCCCCATGAGAAGCATTGTCATCTTGAGCTTTGTGGTTGACACTGCATGTGTTTGCTATTAACAGGTCATTCTTGGTCCATGAAGTGTCTGGCATAGGAGGGTGTGGCAGAAGGGACATGAGTCATTTGTAGAGAAGGTCCAGCCCATCTATGTCCTACAGCAAAAAAAAAGAAAAGGGAGGGGAGGAGGAAGGGCATCTGGCTAGCATAGCGGGTGATAAGAAGAGATGTGGGCTGCTATAGGCCCCAGAATGCCCTGAATGAGATGACAACACAGATCTGATCCCAACTGCTTGAGCAGTTTGAATTGATAGCCCAGGTCAGGTTCAGGCAGATGTGAAGCTTCTGAAAGCTTCCGAGCTGGGACCTTGTCTGGTTTCCATGTGATTTGGATCTCTGCAGCTTCCTCCCAGGTTTGGGGTGCACTCTGTGCATGCTAAGCCGCCTGTCTCAGAGACTCCTGCTGCTGTACTTGTGTACACGGAAAGGTGCTGTGGCGGGGGACCTGGGAGGGCTCGGGGCCTGGGAGGCTGAGAGCAGCAGAGAGGCCTGAGGATGTTGGTGCTGGCTCCATAGGGCCAGCAAGCAGTTCTGTGGGGAAGCGGGGCAGCAGAAGGTATGAGGGTGAGTCCTGGGGAACGGGGGACCCGGGGCAGCCTAGAGCACTGTCATCGGAAGGAACGGGGCTGGGGTAGCGGCCTTCTCCGGGTAAGTACCGAATGCATTTCTTTTTCCTCCTAGGAATAGTGAAGAGAGTTATCTGTAAATAGAGGGTGAATTCATAGTCATACACCACAACCAAAAAAATTGCTGATCTTGCTCAGGTCTGGCTGCTGCTCTTTTGTCTGCCCTCCCCCATGGCTTGAGTGACATGCTTGTACCCCTCAGGCTTGCATCTACCTCTTGGACTGACCCAGGGCATGTGCAATTCTCATGACCACCACCAGGTGGCAGAGGGAACTTGAATGGGCCGGCATGCTGTGGCTCTGCTTTTCCAGCATCTGCTTCGTGTTTGTGGGATTCTGATCTGCAGGCTGACTAGTCTCCAGTCCCTAGAACTAGGCTTAAGAGAAGAAGAAATGGGTAATGGCTCTCGCCTGTTACCAACTTAAGAATTCTCTAGGCCAGTTTGTCTTTAAGCATAAACTGGTTTAGTTGGTTGCAAAGCTTGAACTCAAGTCTAGGTGCTGTTGCTGAGTTTTTGACTCAAGGTTAGCATTCTATCACTTTGAGCCATAGCACCACTTCTGGTTTTCTGGTGGTTAATTGGAGAGAAGTCTCACGGATTTTTCTGCCTGGGCTGGCTTCAAACCATGAGCCTCAGATCTCAGTCTCCTGAGTGGTTAGGATTATAGGCATGAGCCTGGGGTGCCTGGCTTTGTTTTTTCCTCAAGTGCTGTGGTTTGCACTCAGGGTCTAGCCCTTACTTGGCTTAGTTCGCTACATGGTTGACTGCCTCTGGTCTCAGTCCTGCTAGGCCTTGCCTGACCTAAATGTGGTAACTATGCACTTAGTGGGTATGACCTTTTCTTTTTGTCAGTCATGGGGCTTGAACTCTGGGCTTGGGCACCATCCTTGCACTCTCCAGCTCAAAGCAAGCGCTCTATTGCTTGAGCCACAGCGCCACTTCCAGTTTTCTAGTGGTTTATTGGAGATGAGAGTCTCACGGACTTTGCTGCCCAGGCTGGCTTTGAACTGTGATCCTCAGCTCTCAGCCTCCTAAGTAGCTAGGATGATAGGCATGAGCCACTGGTGCCTGACTCCACGTTATTTCTTAAAGCATACAAGTTGGGCACCATGGGACCCGTTAGCTACAACAGCCCAGGGATACCGCTGCTCCCCACTTAGCCCTCTGGTCTAAGATAGCAAGTCACATGACAGGCAGCCAGGTTATTTGGACAGTCAGTGTTCTTGCCTTGCTTTTCTTAGCGCACTTTATCAGCAGGGATCCCATTTCAGAGGCCCATGCCACCTGAGTTGTGTATTTGTCTGCTAAGGACTTGCTAGATCTGGCTGGCACCAGAGCCACCTGCCTTTCCTTCTGCTTAGAATATTTTGTCCCTCCACTTGTTGATCTCCACCAGGTGTGTGGTGGTCTCATTCATTGGGGATGCCTGGGGAGGGGCCTGAGGGGCCAAAGGAGGGAACTGCAGGCCCAGCAGAACGTAGGCAGTTGGGGAAGCAGCTTGAAGCAAAGGGAGAGTGATGGTGGGGACAAACCCACCTGCAGGGGCCACACCAATCCATCTGCTGGTTGAGGCCAAAGCGAGCACGACACTTCTTAGGCGAGCCAGGGTCTGCTCACAGCCATGGCAGAGGGGCGGGCGGGGCAGGGCAGAGCAGAGCAGAGGGCGAGCAGGCAGGCAGCAGGGCAGAGCAGGGCCCAGAACGAAGAGGTAATATCAGTGTTAGCCAGTTACAGATACCCCAGAGCCCCCACAGAAAGAATGGACATTTCCATGGCACAGCTAGCCTCAGTGGGGATCTGGGGGGGCCTAGAGCAAGATACAGAAAAGGTATCACCCAGCTGGGCAGAAAAGTCAGTGGGAAGAATGAAGTGGCAAGGTGGTCTACTCGAGCAGGCTTCCAGGGCCCCTTTCAGCATGGAGGCTCCACAAGAGCCCAGAAAATGCCTGTGAGGAAGTCCATCCACCGCAACTACCTGCCCACTTTATCCATTTGTTATTGCCACCCACATTCCCTTGAGGGATAAGGCCGTTTGCTGTGTCTGCACTCCACACTTGAGATGGACATCAGGGCCATTCCTATCGTCAAAGGGCTTTGGGAGGGTTCCCTGCCTCTCAGCACACCACCTGCTTACACACATTGCTTCTGCTGGTAATCCCTGGGGCATGGAGACTTGAAGGTGCACTTGTCTATAAGGACCTGTGTCCAGAAGGCTCGAGGCTGGGTGCTCTGCCCCTCCCCTCATGGTTCTTTGGAAAGGGGGACAGGGGGAGGACATTCTGTTGCTGCAGCAAGACCTCACCTGTGTTGGACTCTTGATGCTTTTCTCTTGACCGCCTCTTCTTCTTTCCCTGAAGGGAATGAAAAGATGCTCAGATGTGGGATGGAGAAAGTGCCCTGGCCTGCTGCTTAGCCAGCTGCTCCTGGAACTCTGGGCAGAGTCCCGCCTATCTTGAGGTGTGTTTTTCTGATTGTGGCTCTTGCCAGGCTGTTGTGGGGGTTACACCTGGAGGATTCTTCCTCTCCCAATCTGATCAAGTTGGAGCAAACGAGCTCCAGATGTTCCCTCATCTGCCCATGTGGCCCAACCCCACGCTGGGGCAGCAGGCCCATCGGGAATGCATTCTGCAGGGGACAGGATGTGTGGCTTGCCTTCGCAGCAGCTGCTGTGCTCTTCCAGTAAAACCATGGAGCCCCTGGGTGCTCTACCTCGTGTGTCTCATTAGGACAGCAGTTCTGCTCTCTGATTGGACAGCAGCCTGGCAAACGGTATCTCGGAAGGCTCCCCGACCCAGCCTGTGGCTTATCTTTAGTCACTCACATAATTGTCCCGTGCCGACCAGCCTGGGTATAGCTGCATGTGAAGCTGCCTTTCCTTGCGGGCCAGCTCATAATACTTAGCTTGCTCTTCTCGAGACAGTGCATGCCACTGCAGTAGGAAAGAGGGGCAAGATGGGGGTACATCAGGGAGTCCACAGGCTGCAGCATGGTGAAGGGATTCGGGGGTCATCCTTGCCAGCCCACTTGCCCATGGCCTCACCCTGCGGCCCAGGATCTGATTGATGGCGGCACTCTCCTTGAGTGTGCATTCTGCAATGACCTTGGCTCGCATCTCCTTCATGTACAGCATAAAGGCGTTCAAGGGCTTCTTGATGGTTGGCTTCTTAGCCTCCTTCTCTGCCTTAGACTCTGTCTGTGTTTTCCTGAGGATACAGATTGCTGAAGAGCTGCCCTCTGCCCCTGGTGGCCATCCCATAGCGCCTCACCCTCCTCTGGTGTGAAGTGTATACCAAGGTTTACAAACGACAGCACTGAGGTGCCACAGAGACGATAGCCAGGGAGAAGCAGGCATACAGACTTCCCCCATCTGTTTTCTTTTGGCCTGGTCCTGGGGCTTGAATTTAAGGGCCTGGATGCCACCCCTCAGCTTTTATGCTCAAGGCGAGCGCTCCACCACTTGAGCTGCACATCTCCATTTCTGGCTTTTTTGGTAGTTGACTGGAGAGGAGTCTCATGAGATTTTCCTGACCAAGTTGACCTCAAATCAAATGAAGGATCCTCTCATCTCAGCCTCCTGAATAACTAGGATTCTAAGTGTGAGCCACCACTGCGGCTAGCCCCTCTCCTCCTGGCCCAAATAAAAATGTTTTTACTATCCACCCTTTCCTGCTACTGAAAGCCCCAGTCCCAGTGCGTGTCTTGTCATCCTAGGAAGCCAGTCCAGGGCAGGAACATCTGTGAAGATTCTTTTTATTAAACCAGCAAAAAGCTGTACGTGAGGCTATGGCTCAAGTGGAAGAGCACTAATATGAGGCCGTGATCATCATAGGGAAGAAAAAAAAAATCAGCCAGGCAGTAGCTCATGCCACAAGATGGCAGAGCCAGGGGCCTGTTGGTAGCTGCCAGGAAGTCTGTCTTGGGCGTGAAGGCATAGATATTGAGTGATCAAATAGATCTGCTGACTGCCCGTCCACCCCCCCCCCACACACACACACACATCCTGGGGTGTTCTTACTCACAGAGTTCGGTCATAGGGCTGCAGCTCCTGCTTCCCTGAGGGTGGCACAATGGCCGGGTGAGGGATGGCTGCCGGATGACCCGGAACACCTGAGCCCAGCATCAGGGATGGGTGAGTGAACCTGGCGGCAGGAGGGGGTTAACACTGAGCCAGACTTCGGGCATACCAAGGTCCTGCAGTGCCCGAAGACACAGGTGAACAGATACCCACCCCACCGGCTTGACACACAGGCGATACACAAACCCTGCTCTCGACACACTGCAGACGCTGCAAAACTGTACGGCTGCTGCTCAGAGTTGCTGAGTCCCAAACAGCACTGAGTCTGTCCCCTCCTTGTTCGGGAGCCTACAGTGGTCCCATGGGCCTCCGCGCTCTAACCCTAAGCCCCTCTCATGACCTAGAATGTTCCTGGCTCACTCCTGCTGAACTTTCCCCCACAGTTCACAGTTCCCAGACTCAAATCCTGCCTGAGCTCCTTGCTGAGATCTCTCCATCTGCTGCTTCCTTTCACTCCCAGCCAGCTCCAGCTAGTATAATTCTCCCTGCCTCTCTGAGGAAACCACCATTCCCATGATCCTTTCCCTGTCTGGACTGGGGTCTGAGTGTTCCCCAGCAGCTTGTGTCCACACTTCCCTCCCTGCGCTGAGCTGCAAGTGGCAGCTGCCATTCCTTGTCTGAGCCCATTCCCCTCACCTCACTGCTGTGGGGAGAACGGTCCTGTCCCTCGCTGCTTGCACAGGTGTGCAATCCCTTGAAGGGCAGCACTAAGGGGGGGGTGGGGGGGAGTGGTGTAAAAGACATTGCCCCGATCAGATCAGGGTACAGAACTCTAGTGTAAAGTTAACCGTGTGCGTGCACTGTTGTCCTGGCTCTGCAGAGGCCTCAGACTCCCACTACCTTTGTTTTCAGGCACAGAGTAGCAGACACAGATGGACACAGGGTAAGCACAGCCCTGTGTGGGCACTGAAGCCTGGGAGACAGAAGCAGGAGCCTGGCTACCAGCAGGGAACTCACCTGGGGTAGGGGGCGCCAGGGGCTGCGGGAGGGGCAGGGAAGTGCTGTCTATATCCGCAGGAAGGGGACAGGGGGTAGAGAGGAGGGCTGGGCCTGTGTTTGGGAGAGACAGCTGTTAGGAGCCTGGCAGCCAGCCAGCCATGAGGAAGGACGTTCACACCTTACTGGGCCTGACCAATACAGTCTTCAAGACAAATGGACCTCCTTACTCAGATGCACTTCCAGCCTCTGCCACCAGTGGGAAATTTCCGCGCCACCTATTTCTTCCTCTCAGCTGTACTGGCGTTCCCAGCCTTGGATTCGCGTGTGAGTCTCCTCCCAGGACCCAGTTCGACAGACTTCCTGGGCCTCCCAGCTGCCTTCTTAAGTTTCCTTGACAGTTAGGCTGATAACCTAGGCCAGAGCCTTTGCAGATGTCTGAACTGCTTTTCCGCCCCCAACTTGCCTGCTCCACTCCTGGTCATCCATCCATCCCAAGTGGAATGAGACCCCTCTGGGTCCCTATCATCCCTGTCATTGTCTGGCTTCTTGCCTGGGTCACCCACCTGGCAAACCAGTTCTGAGCAGGCAGAAACCTAAGTATCAATCAGCTTTCAGTAGTGCTTCTTTGCATCCAGAACCCTGTGTGGCCTACTGCAAGGCTCACTGCAGAGAGAGCTAACCCACTCCTCTCCTGGCAGCCATGGGCTGCCCAGCGGGACCCCAGGACACAGGGCGGCTGCTCCTCCTATGCTTAAAGCTTTAGTGGCTAAACTTCCTCTGCAGGCTCAAGGCTCTTGGTTTTTGTTTTGTCGGTTGTGGGTCTTGAACTATGGGCCTGGGCGCAGTGTAAAGCTAGCGCTCTACCACTTGAGCCACAGTGCCGCTTCCAGTTTTCTGATGGTTAATTGAAGAGTCTCAAGGATTTTTTTTTTTGGGGGGGGTCGTTTGTGCTCTGAGCACTCTTGCCCCATCGTGCTGCCGAGGGTGCTTGGAGAGAGTCCTGCCTTGCATTTAAAGTGGAGCTCTGTCCAAAGGAGCAGCGTGCCGATCATGAAAAGCAAGTGGGAAGGGGCAGGCACTCTTGTGGCCTTCCCTGCCTTCCTGGGAAGTCAGTCTTTCCTGTTCTCCCTGGGTGACTGCGCGGCCCAGAGCAGTTAGAGATCTGCCTTGGTCACACAGGCCAAGGAGTTAAAGACCATGTAGCTTGCAGAGGGCAGATTCCAGCTGAGAAACACCCTTGGGCCCAGTCAAGCCCAACTGGGGGTTAGGATCCTTTGTCCTGGCCTTGTAATTGAGCCTCCAAAGGGGCTGGTCACCACATAAACAAAGGGCTGATGCCTCAAGCAACTCCAGAACCACCAGCCTCTGATGGCTGTCCATTCTGTCCTCTCCCTGCTCTGGCCTACCTTCATTTTCTCTCAAACTTGCATGGCTCTAGAGGTCTCCAAGCCAACTGGGGAATGCCCAGAGGTGAGAGGACCACAAGGCCCCTCGCAGAGCTGCTGGCCGGCCTGTGCTGTCTACACCGCAGCGCACTTGGTGTAGAAGGATGGGCATGGAAGGGCAGGTCTGGTCCATCCAGCCTGCAGCGCTCCTTTCCCACGGGGCCCACACTCACCAGCTCACGGTGTGGGGGAGCTGTCCCATGCTGCCTGAGGTCAAAGAGTAGAATCCAGAGAGGTCAGGGGTCTGCAGCGGCCTATGAACTATAGAAAGAATCAGGTAAGTGCTAAGCCTGGCTGGTGGTGATTTCAGCAGCATACTAGAGCTTCTGATGGCTCATTCTACGACCCCACCCCTCTCTGTGAGGGCTTTACACATCATGATTTGTTCAGGGCTATCCTCGCACGTACAGTGGCCTAAGAGGTAAGGGGACCCAGGGCAAGGCAGTGGGGTGACTTGTCTATGGAACCCCTCAAGAGTGAGAGGCTAGGTGGCACTCTCCCGGGCCCCCTGCTGATCTGCAGCTGGCTGTGTCCTGCTGCAGGCTCCAGCCTGGCTTTCTGAGCAGAAGGCCTGCAGGAACCTGGCCTGGGGAGCCAGGGCTCCACCCAGCCCTGGGGTTGAGTCAGCAGCTTTCCCACAGCTGACAATGGTAGATTTCAGAATGACTTGGGCTGGGACTGAGGTGAATCAGCCATCACAACCACCACTTTCCATTTTCTTGTTGGGGGAGGCGGAGGCTGCAGCTCTGGGTTATCAGAGGTGCACAGATGGTGGCCGCTCAGATGCTAATGGCTGGGGGTCACTCACACGAACCTCCCACCCCAGCCTGAAGCCTTCACATTCTTTTTTTGGGGGTCCAGTCATGGGGCCTGAACTCTGGGCCTGGGCGCTGTCCCTCAGCTCATCAGCTCAAGGCTAGCGCTCTACCACTTGAGCCACAGCGCCACTTCCGGCTTTTTTCTTTTGACAAGCACTCTACCACTGAGCCACCTTCCCAGCCCCAGCCTTCACATTCTTAAGACAGGCCCTGGGTTTGCACAGCCAGTTACAAAGCGGGCCAAGCTACCCAGTCTCAGAAGTCAGACCTTGGGCCTCAGGCTCTGGTCTCATCAGGCCCCCTGCCCCACGCCAGGCCCACCATACCTTGCTTCTGGCTGATGTCTGTAGGGGTGGGCGTGGGGTGTGGACTGCTGAAATGCTCGTAGAGAGGAGAGAGTTGGGGGACTCCATGGTGGGGCTGACTGGCTTTGTGCTGAAAAATAAGGAGGGGAAATGAGCCTGGAGAGGCGGAGGGGGTAGGGGGCTGGGAGGCAGGATGTGGGCTGCTCAAGGTGGAGGGCGCCGCTCCATCCTGTGTCGTGGTGGTGTTCTCCAGTGCACTTGGCCCCCGCCCCCTGACTCTGCCTGAGCAGGCATACCTAGGCCCCGGGTGCTCGATCTGGGAGGCCAGTGGATCATCTGCAAGACTGCACACAGCCACCATTCCCAGGCAGCAGCGCCTGGCACTCTTTCCTCCAGGAAAGGACCTCTGGGCCCTGTCACTTGGAAGGTGTGAGGCCCGGCTCCCTGCAGGACCACCGGTGCTGCCCAGCCCCCACTCTTATGGTTTTCTTAATACCACAGGACTCTTACTTTTCACACAGTTGAGAGGTTGGTTCTCAGTCAAGAGATGAGTCAGTCATCTGTTGATGGGGAAGGAGGCTAGGAAGAGGGCTCCACACACAACCTAGCCACAGGGAGACACTGCCAGACCCGAGGCCCATTTCTCCACGTGCTCAGGGCGTATAAACCTACTACCATCGAGCTCTGCTTCCCAGCTAGAGGCGTGTGAGGATGGCACTGGCTGAAAGCATGGAGGAGTGATCTCTGACACGTGGACATCTCTGACCAAGAAAACAGGCTGCGTGGTCTGCCTCACCCCAGACTCCTGACTGGATTTCTTAGGATCTCCAGTTCCCTTTACTGGTAATAAATTGCAACCTGGCTACTGGGGACTCCGGGTAAGGAGAGAAAAAGTTAATTTCTCCCATCTGGAATCCTTCCCATTCTCCCTGCAACGCACGGTCAGCCAACCTGTCAAGGTTCCCAGCGATGTCCACCATCCTGGACCCAGTGGGCAATTGTTTTCATTTTACCCACCCTGGCATCAGGCAGTTGCCGGCTCCCTCCTTGAGCCATTCTTGGCCTTTGTCACTTTCCCAACTTCCCTTCCAGGCCCTGGGTTCAAACATGCTCACCTAATGATCCCACTCTCAGTGGGCCCCCCTCAAACTCAACAGAGCCAAACCAGAACCCCCTTAAGCTTTCTGCTCATATACAGGCCCTGTCTTCCTCAGCTCAGGGCCTCTCATCCCCGAGAGGGAGTATCAGTCCCCTCCACCTCACTGGGCACAGGTGGGAAGTCCAGCTAGAGTTTGGGGGAGCCATCGATTGCTGCGGGGCAACAAAAGTAGGGAACTTACTGGGAATCTTGAAGGCCTTGTTATCTGCTAGGACACAGGCCATCGCCGGCTGGACAGATAGCAGCAGGCCTTGTGCCCCGTGGGAAAGCACCCCGCCACTCATGCAGGGTGCAGGACTAGGCAAGGCTGCAGTGCAGCCCATGACTGCTATGTGGGTGCTGAGGGGGAGCCGTGGGCTGGTCCTGCCTCCCCTGGGAGTCTGCCACCCAGCACAGGGGGATTCAGAGAACCCACCGGCAGCTCGAGGTCTTTGGGAGGCCAGGCCGCCAGGGAAGGCACTGAGGCCTGGCCAGTCCTTCCCACGGTCACACAGGCTGTGGCTGGGCCTGGCCCAGCCCCCCCCCCCCCCCGCCTAGTAGTGGTAGCCAGGGGAACCTCTGGCACAGGACCTCTGGCCCCCTGAAGCCGGCGGAACGTCCCGCTCCAGAGCTCCACGCACAGGGCTGTTCCAGGACCTCCCAGACAACATGGTGGGGTCCTCCAGGACACTCAGGGACAGGCGCTTCCCTTCCTCCCAAGGGCAAGGAGGCAGGCCTGGGGTGACTGTCCCCACCAGGCCCTGAGCACATCAACAGGGCAGAGGAGTGAGCTCAGAGTGGGGCATGCAGCGTGCTCACAGGGGCAGGCGCACAGATGCGTGGATGACTCCTAGTGGACTGTTCGGATCAGGAGACCCCAAAACCCCTGCTCTCCCACCAGCCTGTGGCCCCACCAGGACAGATCCAGGATTCATTCAGACTCCAGGGCTGAGACGCTGTTGTTCTGGTCAGTTCTTGTCTAGCCTCTACCCAGTGGCCAGGTGATAGGCCCTGCCCAGCAGGGCTGGCCCCTCCTGCCGCTGCTCACCCAGGTCTGTGACCCCAACTCTAGCTCCCCGCTAAGAATTCCCCACTCTGGGGCCTCTCGGCAGGCAGGCAGCAGGAGGTGAACGTGGGGCTCTCCTGACAGGTCTCCTGCTTCTTGGCCCTCAGGTTGGGCCGGGCTTCCCCCCCGCATACACACTTATGCAGGCTCAGGTGCAAAATGAGCAGAGTGGGCATTTTCCCTGCAGACCCGCAGGGGCTGCTGTGTTCCACGCAGAGCGGCCGGTGAGCGCCCAGTTCCCGCCCCACCGCCAGCAGAGAAACCCCCTCGCGGCTGACAGTTGACTCTGAAAACCCCCAAGCGCCTGAGCCCCACACTTTCCCAGCCAAGAAAGTTGCTGCTTCCTCTTGGCTCCAGCCTGAAGGGTGGGAGAGCCTGTGAGGCCCAACCAGGCCCTTCTATGAACGCCTTCCCGGGGATAAGCACCCCCTCCAAAATACGGCGGGGTCCACCAGCAGGCACAAGCCATCGGGGTGCGTGACTGAGCTGCCAAGTACCAGCCAAGGAATGTCTGCAAGTCTGCCAACAGCCACCGAGCATCAGACATTCCTTAACCCAACCGGTGAGGGGCACAGTTACTAGCCCCACTGACAGATGGGGAGACTGAGGCATGGCTCCTCTGGGATGCCACCCTCTGACCCCTGTGAGCAGAACAGCGCAAGGCTGTGTCAGTCCTAAGCTCAGTCTCTCCCTTCCCTAGCCTGGCTGATCTGTGCCAGCGCTTCTCAGATCCCCTCTGGGACCTCCAGGACCAGGGAGTTCTCCTGGCAGTGCATGGCCCACAGAGCAGCCAGATCTGCTTCGGGTCCCCCGGGGAGTGTGGTTCTCCATGGTCATCTTTGTCCTCAGCACACTCACCAAAGAGACTCCCCGGAGCCTCTGCATGCCCACCCGACTCGGCTGCCACCCACGCCCCTCCTCAGGTGAGGAGCTCCCTGTGGGCACAATGGCAGAGCCACCCCTTAAACCCTGTGTTCCCTCCAAGGTGATACCCCAATATACTGACCCCTGTGTCTGGGGTTGTGCCCTGAATTGCTTTTCACTGCATAGACCAGGCCCTCGAAGTGGGGACTCTAGCAGTGTGGGGGCTTGGGGACTCAGGGAGAACATGGCAGGCCCGGAGCAAGTGAGGGCCAGGCACAGGGTCGCAGCAAGCCAGAGCTTGGAGAGCATCCAGGCTCAGCCTACCTAGCACCTGAGACACCTCCCCCCACCCCCACGCTCTCCTGCCTGCGGGTCTGAGTCAGGAGGAGCAGCTTGGGAAGATCTGGGTTGCCACTCACCCTTTCTGGAAAAACACTAGGCCCACATTGGACACAGTAAGTGCCAGCTGGTTGCTCCCTCAGCACAACTCCCCGAACAACTGAAATGGCGGCTCACACCTGTCATCCTAGCTACTCAGGAGGCTGAGATCTGAGCATCACAGTTCAAAGCCAGCCTGGGCAAGGAAACTCCAGAAAACTGGAAGTGGTGCTGTGGCTCAAGTGGTGGAGCACTCACCTTGAGCTGAAGAGCTGAGGGACAGTGCCCAGGACCAGAGTTCAGGCCCCACGACCATCCAGAAAAAGAAAAAAAAGCCGCCTTGGGGGTCTTATTTCTTCCCCCCACTTTGCAGGAGCCAGTATTGGCCCACATCAGTCCTGGGAGCCCCATCATGCAGCCCTGGGGGGGGGGGACACTGGGTGGAACTGCACAGATGCTCTGGACTCTGGCTAGCCTGGGGCCCCGGGGAAGAAATGCCCAGGGACAGGCAGGCTCCTGGGCTTTCCCAAAGGATGCGCCAGCCTTGATCCATGCAGGTACGCATGCCCCAACACACAGAGAGGGCAAGTCGGAGCCCTGCTCAGGCCCTTCATCCTGAGCCCAGGACACGGTGCTCTCCAGAGGACCGGCCTAGAGTGTTGGCCACGGCCCCAGGCTGGGAATGGCCGGGCCACACCCTTGTGGACCAGGAGCTTCATCCCACCTGCTGGCCGCAAAGCCACTGCGGCAGTCCCCCAGCACCTGGCCTGACATCAGCTAACAGGCCCTGCAGGGCACTGGTGGGGACTAAAGCGCCCCCCCATGCAGCTTGGCAAGCCACACCCCTGTAGAGGGCCAGCATTCGCTCACTTGCACAGCCCCTCCTCCCGTGTGGGGACGCCCCTGGGACAGGATGTTTTTAGGAGGAAAGTAAGACGCTTCCGGAGCTGCTGCAGCAAGCTGCTAGTTGACATCAGCAAGCTGCTGCTCCTGGCCAGGCATCCCATTCGCCCAGGCCCTGGTGCAGGCCGGAGCCTGGCTGAGGGAAGAGGAGAACCAGGCTCTGGAGGGAACGTGGCGAGGGTGTGGCACTGCGGGAAGAGAAGGCCGGGCCTAGCCGAGGAGGGCCAGGTGTCCAGCAGCATCCTTTGGGGTTCTTGACCAGACTCCCCACTTCAGCCACAGGCCTCACAGGCACCCCTGTGGCTGGCAGCAGCTGCCCAAAACCAACCTAGAAACAAGCTGGCCGGCTGCGTGCCTCGATCTCCCCACCTGAACTCACCCTTGCGTGCACAGGTCTGGCCTGAACCCTCCATGATGGCCGTGGCTGGAAGGGTGGACGCACTACCCCGGAAGGCCAGGAGGGCTGGCCAGGCGAGGCCTTGGGCTCTGTGCGGTCTGTGTCTGGCAGTTTATCCACAAGCTAACAAGACGAGGCCCAGCCAACAGCTGCTGGAGGCTCCCACCCTCGCCCCCACCCCAGTGTGGGCACGGGAAGGGGCGGGACTGCACCCACGGCCAGCAGGGCCCTTGGAAGCAGAGGCCTGAGCAAGGCTGAGGTGGGGCGTCAGACACACGCCTGGTATAACAGTGTGGGTGCAGGGCAGAGGGTGAATCGCCCAACTCCCGCGGGCTGAGCAGGGAAAGGATGGTACAGGGAGCCAGGAGGCTGCAGCTCTCTAGC